ACTACTGACAGACACACATGATACTATGGACAGACATACAGGACACAACAAACATACATACATACACTACTGACAGACATACAGGACACTACCGTCAGACATACAAGACACTACCGACAAACATACAGGTTACTACCGACAGACAAACTGCACACTACCGACAAACATACAAGACACTAACGACATACATACATCGACAGACATAAAGGACACAACAAACATACATACAGACCGGACACTACCGACAGACACACACACATACCTACAGGACACTACCCACATACCGGACACTACAGACATACAGGATACTGTCGACACACATACAGGACACTACCGACATACATACATCGACAGGCATAAAGGACACAACAAACATATATACAGACCGGACACTACCGACAGACACACACACATACATACAGGATACTATCGACAGACATACAGGTTACTACCGACAGACAGACTGAACACTACCGACAAACATACAGGACACTAACAACAGACATACCTACCGACATACATACATCGACAAACATAAAGGACACAACAGACATACATACAGACACTACAGACAGACATACAGGATACTACCTACAGACATACAGTACACTAACGACAGACATACAGGAAACTACCGACAGACATACAGTACACTACATACAGGATACTACCGACAGACATACATGACACTACCATACAGGACACTACCGACAGACATACATGACACTACCATACAGGACACTACCGACATATATACAGGACACTACTGACAGATATACAGGACACTACCATACAGGACACTACTGACATACATACAGGACACTACTGACATATATACAGGACACTACCGACATACATACAGGACACTACTGACATATATACAGGACACTACTGACAGATATACAGGACACTACCATACATGACACTACTGACATACATACAGGACACTACTGACATACATACAGGACACTACTGACATATATACAGGACACTACCGACATACATACAGGACACTACCATACAGGACACTACTGACATACATACATACATGCAATTTCAATGAAACTTTACATGATTGATTGGTAGGTCAAGTACTTGCACAGATATCGGGGGTTTTCCGCTTGAATGATTTTTGGCCCAGTTATGGCCCTTGAATGAAAATGTGTTAGTTAAGTTTGTTAGGACAACTCCTCTTATACCATTAATGCAATTTCAATGAAACTTTACAGGATTGATTGGTAGGTCAAGCACTTGTGCAAAATACACAATTTTTTCATTTGAATGATTTTCAGCTGAGTTATTGCCCTTGAATAAAAAAAGGATTTTGCACTGTTAATCACTTTTGAGACTCCAGCTACGCAGTTATTGCAGCATGCGACTATCAGGAAGCGACACATGCCATCACTGATGGCCCTTGTTTATTTAAGGATTTGATCTATTCTTGAACATAAGAACACATATGAAAAAGCTCACATGTTGAATTATTTAACTTTGACCTTGACCTTCAGGGTCAAGTTATTGAAATTTCCTTAAATTGTCGTAACTTTGTTATTCATTTACAAATAAGGACAAAAGAACGCAAGATGAAACTGTCATTAATTCAAAATTATTCTGGTATGACTTAAACCTTTAATTGACCTTTACTGTCAAGGTCAAATTATTGAAAATTGCTTTTATTAAAAAATATCGTTAAATAAAATGGATTTTAATGGATTTTTTGGCAAAAGAACACTTATGACACAACTTACATGTGATTAATTATGCCCCCGCTTCGAAGAAGAGGGGGTATATTGCTTTGCACTTGTCGGTCCGTCGGTCCGTCGGTCCGTAGACCAAATGGTTTCCGAGTGATGACTCCTATTAATTTTGGAGTCAAGGGGTCAAAGGTCAAGGTCACATTGACCTTGTAAGTAAAAACGGTTTCCGATCAATAACTAAAGAACCCTTAGGCCTAGGAACTTCAAACTTGATGTGGTGATTGGTCATGACCAGCAGATGACCCCTATTGATTTTGGGGTGAAGGGGTCAAAGGTCAAGGTCACATTGACCTTGTAGGTAAAAACGGTTTCCGATCAATAACTAAAATAACTAAAGAACCCTTAGGCCTAGGAACTTCAAACTTGGTATGATGATTGGTCATGACCAGCAGATGACCCCTATTGATTTAGGGGTCAAGGGGTTAAAGGTCAAGGTCACATTGATCTTGTAGGTAAAAACGGTTTCCGATGAATAACTAAAGAACCCTCAGGCATAGAGACTTCAAACTTGGAAAGATGATTGGTCATGATCAGCAGATGACCCCTATTGATATTGGGGTGAAGGGGGAAGGTCAAGGTCACATTGACCTTGTAGGTAAAAACGGTTTCTGACCAATAACTAAAGAACGCATAGGCCTAGGAATTTCAAACTTGGTACGATGATTGGTCATGACCAGCAGATGAACCCTATTGATTTTGGGGACAAAGGTCAAGGTCACATTGACCTTGTAGGTTAAAACAGTTTCCGATCAATAACTAAAGGACCCTTAGGCGTAAGGAACTTCAAACTTGGTATAATGATTGGTCATGACCAGCAGATGACCCCTATTGATTTTGGGATCAAAGGGTCAAAGGTCAAGGTCACATTGACCTTGTAGGTAAAACGGTTTCCGATCAATAACTAAAGAACCCTTAGGCCTAGGAACTTAAAACTTGGTATGATGTTTGGTCATGACCAGTAGATGACCCCTATTGATTTTGGGGTCAAGGGGTCAATGTCATAGTGACCTTGTACTTAATGACCGTTTCTGACCAATAACTCAACAACTCAAGTTGCCTTGGTTGATATTTTTATGTGCTTTTGGTATACACATTTGAAGGTCTTATGTAATATAACAACTTGGCTGTCATTAATGAGGCCTATGTGTTTCATAAAATTTATGTATATATTATTTGGTAAAATTTTTAATAACTTTAATTGCTGCACACAACCTATGGGGTCACAATAATTATTACCTTGTGACTAGTCATGACCAGTAGATACTAGATAACCCTTATTAATTGCTCGTTCACTGGGTCAGAAGTCATGCATTATAACCTGATCACATGACAAATTGGCTGCCGATAGGGGGCATACATGTTTTACAAACATATCTTGTTCATATATGACCTTGACCTTTGAATGACATTGACGGTCAATATCAGATATGAAATAGACTCTATTACATGTATTTCATACAAGAAAAATAATGTTTTCTAAGAGTATTCTTTCATACAATATTAATCCTCCAATCACGTGTTTGACTTAAAAAATAAGAACATAAGTTGAGCGTGGCCCCTCTAAGCAGTGGCTCTTGTTGATATAACGTTTAGCGTACAAATTTTGCTTAAGACACAATGATATTGATTTCTTTATAGATTTATGTAATGAATAGTAATAAAACAATGATATTAAGATAATACAAAACTTTGTGTTATGTAAGACTCCGCCTGCTTAGCTCAATATGATCAGTAACATTGGGTTCGCCGTTTTGATCCTCTTGCGAGACGTAATTTATCTTTAATAATGTCGAGTCTTATTCAAGCTGATTCAGAATTAGGTGAGATTAGTAATCGGTCACTTGCGGAGAAACAGGTTATTCCTGCTTAGTTATTTCAGGGAGGCCGTGCAGGTGGATCGACGCCCGGTGGATCGACCGCCGATATAGATCTATGACCAAAAAAAATATTTCTCCACCCATGATTAATAAGTAACTATGCATAGTTTCCGGATAAGCAATGTTGCTAATAATTTCGGATAAAGTTTCGGCTAGATTCTAGTTTGAAATTGAAAACGTATGCCTGTCTGTCTGAAATTACGTTTAATTAAGAAATAATATATCCCAAACTGATTTTATCGCTCAATAGGGAAAAATGCGGGTCGTGTTAGAATATGAAATAGTTTTACGCTAAACCATTTAAACAACCTTATTAGCGTTTGTAGAAAGTTTATGGGCAACAGACTGTTACATTTTTGTTATGAAATTTATGCAATTTCCTTGGACGAAAAATCTTTGTAGAAAAGAGGTAAAAACTTGATGAATGCTTATAATAAATTATCAAATTGATGACCTGGTTCGGACGGCTATAGGAAGTTGAAGCTACCGTTCTCGCCAAATAGCTTTAGGAGAAATCATCGCTTAAGCATGAATTTGGAGCTTTTTTGAATTAAGAAACAACATCCGTGAATGTGTTTGCTAAGCATTTTAAACATCAGCATAAATTGTAATTTCTGTTGTTTCTTATATGCTTTTTAATCTAGGCTTACTACTCAGAGCAATTTAAACTGAGGTACAAAACATTTACTGTTTAAAGGTCAATTATGCCTCAGAAATGCTGTCATTTTTATTTCTCAAAACCTTATTGTTGGTATCTTGTTACAGTTTCCCCAAAACATACTCATTTGACACATTAGATTAATTATCTTTTGCTTTCCTTTCTCTGTTAGCAATTGGTATAATTATATAGAGAATTAGTATTTTGTATGGAAGTCAAAATACTATTTTGTTTACATTTTGATACCTTTATTACACATTACTGTATGTTCAGCGATTTCTGAGGCATAATGTGCCTTTAATAAATATGTTTATCCCATACCCGTGCCGCTTTTGCGGTATTGAACTTGTCCTGAACAATACCTTTTCTACGTATTCTCCAATGGCAAATGATTAGCTTATTTGGGTAATGAGGCTTATTTACAAGATTTTCGTAGTTGTTGTTCGTAGGAGTCTTACATAACACAAAGGATTATATGTTATAACAACATTGTGTATACGTTGCTGATTGTAAAGTTCTGTTATAATTGAACAAATATTTGATTACCGCTTGTTTAAGAATAAGCTGCATGTTTTAATTTTGAATGATGTTATATCTGATATCATGAGTACAATACTCGATTAGCAGAACAATTATCTAGTCTTAAGTATCCATGTGTGTGTATTGTATACGAGATTTCAAAAAATGTAAAAAACAACAACACAAAACTTTCAAGCGTTCCAAATATTATTTATTTATTTTCAACATTAAGTTAATATATACTTTAATCTGCAGTATTTAGAAATATTTTTTAAAATTAAAATCACATTAAGTCTAAAAAATGGCTACACATTTACTAACAAGAAAAAGCATTTGAAACAAACAGCAACATTTGTTGGGCTTATAGGACCATTTGAAAATTAAGTTCTAAATATAATTTATAAAAATAAAATGAGGAGGTATGTGAATTGTTCCTGACTTTAATAAAACCAGTCAATGCACAAACATGATTAAAGTTTGAAACTTGCTTGGAACTTTTTTTAAAATAAATGTTTTTTATTTTATTTCTTTCAAATCAGTGTATAATTTGCCGAAATTTGCGTTTCATTTTCAGAATCTCTCCTAGTGTCTGTTAATCAGACCAAAACTTGAAGGCACCGACTACCACCACACCAGCAACAGCGATGCCCAAGGCGCCAACAGCTGCAGGAGCACCGACTGTGGTCATTACTCCTCCGGCCATTGCAAGCACTGCTGTCCCAGCCAAACGCTGGAAGAAAAAATCTAAATGTCTAAGACTGATTATGAATCTTGAAAAGAAATTCTTGGATCAATTATTTCATAATTTGGTAATTTGTGAGCAAACAAAAGTTAAATGTGGGAACGACAAAATGTCATTTTCAGCATGCTACAGATGATTTTATAATTCTTTCTTAAATGAAATATTTCACATGAGCTTAAAAATGACCTGTCGCTATTCAAATACACATTTATACTTTGCTAATCTTTTTCATGAATTGATTAAAATTGCTTCAGACTAGTATACACCTAGAGTGGTCATTGCGCAAATGACTTATGCCCTGAAAAAAATAGTTTTGGTACACGTTTACTCCAATATGATCTTATGGAAGATAAGAAGTGAAAACAGAACAAATATTGAAGCAAAACATTATGGTTATATAAATCCATATTGAAGGTTTCTTCGTATATACTGTATTATGAAGGTTGAAAGCTGAAGACGATATCATAATGACAGAGTATTGAATATCGCATAGGTACATACAGTTTTGTAATATATTTGAAAATTCAAAGGGCGACCATAACTCAAGAAGGTTCATTTTAAATGATAAATGAAAACAATATGCACGACTAAGATTAATAAGTCAAATTAAACTCTAGGGCTGTCAGACAGACGGACAGTGCAATCTCTAGAATAAGAGACAAAACCAACATAATGCGCAGTCTCATCAGAATCCATGCTGTTCGCTTTCAGTTTCTCTACTTGTTATAGAGTTGGTAAGCGAACAGCATGGATCCTGATCAGACCGCGCGGATGCGCAGGCTGGTCTGGATCCATACTGGTCGCAAACCCATTATGTTGGTTTTGTCGTGATGCGGCTTAAATGTATGAGTAACCAATATAATAAAGCACGGGTGGAAAGGCTGACCCGGCTGTTTACTGGTGAACAAGGGTAATTACAACAAAAATGATTAAAGATGCGATTGATACTGTTACTGAAACAAAGTGATCCTTCGGAAGCATTAATCACAACAAAATAACATAAGAATTGCAGACTCGGTTTGATTGAGTCTGTACATGAGGGATAATGATTAAGTGCAACATCCCTCACACCCCCTAGCACTGGCTTGAGCTGTACTCAAATATCAACACATTATAGTGTTGGCATTAATGATCCCGAAGGACCAGAAAATATAACAACACTGAAATGAAGTACGGGGCAACTTTTAACGGCTGCCACACAGCACTAAACACCTGCTGTTGTAAACCACACTTGCACAAATTATATATGTATATTATTAGGCAAATAAAACAATTTTCAAACATCGAAGAATATGTAAAATGTGTACTGCAAATATTTGTGCACATTATATTTAATCAATAAATTACATGCATTCATTTCTTATTTAAGAATTTATAGAAAATATTTTTTTTTATTACCTCCCTTTATTTACATGAAATGTTAAATTGAGTAATTTCTTTATAAATAATGTTTATTGGAACTTACAATATTGACAAATCTTAATTTGAGCATCATATTTATGAAATAAAATCATGAAAGAATTGTGTAACAGGATCTAAAAAAGCAGATTAAACAGTCAAATTGAAATACACTTAGCAATGTAAAACGTAAAAAAAAGATAATGTTTCACTAACCATTTGCGAAGTAGTCGGAGAACGCCCTTCAGTCGAATTCATTTGTCACTGTCTTTTTGGAACAGTTCTGAAAATTTACAAATGAGTTTGAAAACCCAGCCCTAAAAAATCAACAACTAATCGAATAAAAAGGTCAACAACAACAATGTGTTTTTAATGGAAACGTATTGCTCGGGGCAATGGTATTTATAGATCTGTGTACACATTTAAAACTTATTGTCCAACAACATTGACCTGGCACTCTTGCATTTGACCCTGTAGTCGGAATATTTCGTGAACGTAAATCGATATTCGTGTCAATATGCAATTGTTGAAATCATATAAATTAAAGATTCCCTCTTGGCGCAGTTGGTAAAGGCTTTAACTTTAAGAATGTTGACGTAAACTAGTAGGTTCGAATACCTTTCAGCGACTTTCTTTTTTTTTTCTTTTTTGTATGAATTAAAAAAATGCAATTCTCTTAAAACCAGTTGTGTGTGTTATGTCTTTATAACGTGTATGCGCTAAGTAATAGTTATAGTACATGAAACGAGATAGTTACAAAGATATAACACTGGCGAGGGCGACATCAAGTGATGTTTCTGCTAAAAAAAATGGCGTGGCCGCTAGGCCGAGACAATATTTAAGCAGCAACATCCCAAGATGTCGCCTAGCCAGTGTTATAACCTCGTAACTAACGAGTTTCATATGCTATAACTGTTTTATCGCAATGGCATAATGTTTTCTTTTTTTGTAATAGAAATAAATAAATAAATCGTTAGCTACATTACAGTTATTTATGATAATTAAGGCAGTTTTTCCAAGTTGTTTTCCCTGCCGCAAAAAAAAAAAAGATATATATAAAGATATATACAAAAGACACCCAATGTTAGAAGCGGATTGTTAACTGTTACCAATATTGATTCAATATTAAAGGGCTTTTTTCAGTTGAAATGGTTCATTCAGCGGATGTACCTTTTGATTAATGAGAGTAAATTTCATTTCATTAATTATCTTTGTTTATATTTTTCATTGTATTTGTTTTTTATTTATTTTATTTTATTTTATTGATTCCATTTTTTTTTTGGCTAATGGGAATGTTCGTTACCACTGCCCCATTGGAGCTTCTGTGAAATCAAAGCACAGAAGGCGCTGAATTTGTTTGGGTCTCAGAATGTCAGAAAAGTGAAGGTTGTGAGAGTATAAACCAATTTGTTTTTGCATAGTGCCACCAATGCTTTCCAGTGTTTTAACTGTAGTAAATTGGCTATAAGACTAATTGCAACACTGATAGTCAATTCACTGTTTATTTGACTTAAATTTAAAAAGAAAATGAGTTGCCTCGACTGGGATTTGTACTCGAGACCTGTCGATTCATAAGCGAGCGTGTAATCCCCCCGGCCACGGTGAAGTTATATGTTAACGACCCGAAGAAAACCATATTATTCTAAATTAGGGTTTGTAACTCTTATCAATTCGACGCTAAACACAGATGTAAATAATAATGGAGCTTACTGTAAGCATGTATATACTATTTAGAATGAAACAATATTAAAAATCTTCGTCAATTTGGGATTTACTTTGCTTGAAAATTAATGCGCCTGTCATTTGACAATCTTTTCTCATTGATCTCCCCTGTATTTTTCGGCGTTAGTTTACATATAAAGGGGAGTAACCGCTTTAAAACAAGTGGACTACTTTAGGCATTTGCAACTAACAGCATTAGGCTCTGAAATTTCGCTACCATTATTTGTTTGGTCTGACGACCCAAACAAATAAAAACTACATTAATATTTACAAGGTGCGAAAAAAACTCAACCGCTATATAGCAGTCGAGTTTTTTTCCTATATGAATCAATGAAAAAACTTCCAAACCATGCGATAATGCATAGATTGCATAATGTCACAAAGAGAACCATTGAAAGATACTGTATTGAAATAAAAAAAATATATAAAAACTGACCTAAAAGGTATTCTAAAAGCAGTGAAAACAATTTCAAATTAATTCTTGCAGGTACATTAAAAAAAAATAACGTGGTGTTGATAAGGAATCGAACCAGAGCCCTTCCGACATCTTTACCAATACACCACATCTCACTGACGACGAGTGTAGCTAACAAATTGATCAATATATTCGATATATACTGGTCAGTGTTAATTTATAAGACCTTTACGAAAGTGAATGAAGTGCCAGGTCAATATTGTTGGACAATACTCTTCCATATCAATTCTTCAGTTACAAAGTAACAAAATGTGACACTGCTAGATACTTGTTACCTTAATTTGTATCCATCAGTTAGACCACAGGATGTTCGTATGCTGTCAATTAAAGCAGTATATTGTCAAATAAATAAGAATTAATGTCAAATATATACCATCCTGTATAATAGATAAACACAATGAATGTATAATAGATAAACACAATGAATGTATAATAGATAAACACAATGAATGTATAATATATAAACACAATGAATGTATAATAGATAAACACAATGAATGTATAAAAGATAAACACAATGAATGTATAATAGATCAACACAATGAATGTATAATAGATAAACACAATGAATGTATAATAGATAAACACAATGAATGTATAATAGATAAACACAATGAATGTATAATAGATAAACACAATGAATGTATAAAAGATAATGAATGTATAATAGATCAACACAATGAATGTATAATAGATAAACACAATGAATGTATAATAGATAAACACAATGAATGTATAATAGATAAACACAATGAATGTATAATAGATAAACACAATGAATGTATAAAAGATAAACACAATGAATGTATAATAGATCAACACAATGAATGTATAATAGATAAACACAATGAATTTATAATAGATCAACACAATGAATATATTATAGATCAACACAATGAATGTATAATAGATAAACACAATGAATTTATAATAGATCAACACAATGAATATATAAAAGATAAACAGAATGAATGTATAAAAGATAAACACAATGAATGTATAATAGATCAACACAATGAATGTATAATAGATAAACACAATGAATGTATTATAGATAAACAGAATGAATGTATAATAGATAAACACAATGAATGTATAATAGATAAACAGAATGAATGTATAATAGATAATGAATGTATAATAGATAAACAGAATGAATGTATAATAGATAAACAGAATGAATGCATAATAGATAAACACAATGAATGTATAATAGATAAACACAATAAATGTATAATAGATAAACATAATGAATTTATAATAGATAAACACAATGAATGTATAATAGATAAACATAATGAATGTATAATAGATAAACACAATGAATGTATAATAGATAAACACAATGAATGCGCATGTACCGTCTCTTGACAAACTAGTACTGATGATAGGAGGGTTAATGCACCATTTTCTTTGCATTTAAATCTGCAGCATCACGAGGACGTATTTTAAGCCCATGAATTCATTTATACCGACGGCTTCTGCAGATGTTCAAGCTCGAAAACAGGCGCATAAATACAAGTTTACGTGTTAATCTTTAATTCCGCACTTTGTTGCCGGTGTTTCGTATAAAGAAATCAATGCTTGCGTCATGCTTTCCACGTGCTTTTGCCGATTATCTTTTGATAATTAATCTACCGGGGCCATTAATAAAGCTTTTCTTACGCAGAATCAAAGACTCGTGATCTGTTAAAGCATGTTTCTTCACCGTTGATGTATACATACGTGCGCAGCTTTTATGCAAGAATCAATAAACAAAAATGTACATTTCTTTGAGCGGTTACGGTTTTTGTTTGTATGAATAGCTCTGAATGGTTTTAAAACCTCAAGATAACAATGGTGATATTCATTATTGTATTTGACATTTTTGTTGAAATATTTGTTCGCTATACAAAATGATAATTGGCAAAATCCGTCAATAGTTGCGCTTGCCAATAAAGAGTGAAAAGATTGAATAAATTAAATACAGATAATATCGAATTTCTACATTTATACAGTTTTTGAATGTGTTATGCATACCATACACATTGTAGATACATTGAGATATAGGTTTAAGTTAAAGCATTTTTTTCCAATACACTTTTGAAATTAAGGCGTATATGTTAAAGGCACATTTACCCTCTGAAATGAGTACCTTTTTATTAAGTCAGGGCAAACATATTGATATATCAATAACTGATTTAATGAGCATGTTAAATGATTATAACGCAAAATAGCGCTGAGTCTTTAAGCTATATATATACCTCCAGATGAGTCAAAATATTTCAATAAAATAAAACTTGACAAAAATGTACAAAGGTTTAAGGAAAAGTAAAAAGTTTCAAGATTCAAATGATATTTTACATATTATATGCGATAAATGACAAATGATGATTTTTCAACATTTACAACTATATTTCTACTGCGTTACTAACTCAGTAAAGGCTATTTATGCATATTTTGACCACATTTTGGTAATTTACACGTTGATGTGGCATTGATATTGATGTTTATTTCGGCTGTTGCGTTGTTTATATTACCGTTGAAGTTAAAAATTGACAATCATCGTGAAGAATTATATCTTCTGTGTCGATGGACCAAAGGATTATGTGAAAATATTGGAAATGAAATAAAATACATGGTGGTTATGACGGTAGGGGTGCGTTTTTTTTCCGGCGAACATTTTTATATTGTGTAATATTATAGATGTTGAAATATGAAATTTTTTCAAAACGGCTTATATTAAGTTTTTTTGATGTATATGATCAGTACATGTGCTGGGATTGACAAATATGCATTTTATTTGGATTTTAAAGGCGTTTTGAGCTCCAAACCCTAAGTGTCTGTGCAATATTACACATTCAAATACATTTTCAAAATTGTCATGAAAATTAACATGAATCTGGAGAAAATTTTTATAGTGCGAAAACACCGACAATCTATGTTTATTTAATAAACAAAACACATTCATTGAACAATGAACAATGTATATATATATATATGTGTGTAAGAATTCTTAAATATATATATGATTATTATGAAAATTGATGTGTAACGGTAAATTTGTTGAATTTAAAACATTTTTTTCACAGAAAATATCCGGACTTTTCATGCTCCTCTCTTTCCACGTGCAGCTATATACACACATCATATATACGCTCTGTAATAAAGTTTCTGGTTGCAAAAGGTGAAAAGCCCTGCCACATCTTTCAGAGGCTTAAAAAAAGATTTTCTGATAAATGCGTATCACGTTCAACCTTCCTCACTTTCGTGAAGGCAGAACAAGTGTTTGTGACAGGCCTAGGACTGGGCGGCCAGCTGAGGCGGTGACGCCAACAATGGTAGCAATTGTTCAAGCTTTTATCAACAAAAATCGTCGAGTAACTTTGGAGGAGGTAGCAAACAAGTTTAGCATCGGTAAGGCATCGGCACACAAGATTTTACACGAACACCTAGGCATGAGCAAGGTAAGTGCCAGGTGGGTGCCTAGACAGCTGTCCGCAGATCAAAAGGCAACCAAATTAACTTTTGCAAAAGAACATTTAAGTCGTTTTAATCGTGAAGGAGATAAGTCTTTGAACCGCATTATCACTTGAGATGAGATGTGGGTTCATTATTCCGAACCTGAGACAAAAGCTCAGTCAAAGCAGTGGAAACGAGCTGGTTCCCCACCTCCTAAAAAGTTTAAGGTGTCTCCTTCGGCTAGCAAAGTCATGCTTGTTGCCTTTTGGGATTCACGAGGAATGATACTTACTCATTTCATGCCAAAAGGTCAAACTGTCACCGCCAAGTACTATTCTGAAGTAATTTTGAAAAATCGCAGAGAAAAGCTGAAGCAAATGCGTCCCAGGTTAGCACAGAAAAATGTCCTCCTTCTTCACGATAACGCCCCCTCCCATACCGCCGCAGCTACAGTGGAGGTTATCAACTCTTCCAAATGGCAATTGTTGTCTCACCCTCCTTATAGCCCAGACCTCGCCCCCTGTGACTTTTATTTGTTTCCAGAACTGCTGAAAAAATTGCTTTCTGGAAAGAAATATAAGACCAGGGCGGCTTTGATATCTGCTGTTACACTGTACCTAAAACATAGGTCTACGTCATGATTCACATCGGGAATAAAAAAGCTCCCACGAAGATGGCAAAAGTGCGTAGACGTAGGTGGAGGATACTTTGAAAAAGAGTAGAAAGATTTTTTTTAAATGTTGAATGGTTTTCGAGAACAGGTCAAAAGTCTGGATATTTTCTGACTTCTCCTCGTACATGAACATGTATTCACTTACGAAATTCAGGCGAATTCGTTAAAAATCTGGTTTGATATGTCAACAGTATAAAAATACTTGCATAATTATTATTCAAATTTTGACCATTTGAACGTTGACAAATTTGCATTTTTCATATACATTTGTTTATCGTACATGCGATCTTATATTCAACTTATAATTGGATATTAACTTTAATCTAATGATGCTATTTTGTCAAAATTCACTTTTAAATTAATACCCCTAACGGCAAGCAAACACAACGCCTATTTATATTTATCTAAATCATCGTACAAGAATCGCATAAGAATTAAAAAAAACAAAAAAAAAAACAACAACAACAAAAACCAAAACAAAACAACAACAAAAAACGATGTATATGAGATATTGTAGCAAAATACAAAATAAGTTACCTTGAGATATCCTTATTCTAACCTTTGATTACGTGTAATGCTTACAAGTACTCGTTTTATGCCACGCTATCGTATTGTAACGTTGCCAGCGATTGGCTGAAAAAAGTACAGGAAACCCGTAAGATTCAACGAGACATGAGGTGATTGGATAAAAATTGAATGTTCTGTTAGTATAAGAGACGTGTAATGTAGTATCTAAGAACAGAAACTGTTTTTACTCTTCAATGATAGTTGATTAGCACTTATTCCCCTTAGTCCAGCAGATTGAACCGTAATCCTCATAATCCTAGTATCAATTCAAAACCCATAGTTCCGCGAGAATATGTAATATTGCACAAATGTGTTTTATGGTAAATATATGGTTAATTTTTTCCAACAGAACCAACACAGAGTGTAGTCATTGATCAAATTTACAACATAAAAGCACGTTCTTACAGGAATTTACTCATGCACAGTTCGAGTAAAATTAATGCTATGCAAAAAGAAAACAAAGAAACGTTGAAGTAATGATCCATTTAATTGTGTAAGAAGGTTCTTCTTCACAGCAATAACAAACCTTAAGCCTTAACCGAGAAAATGTCCGGATGATTTACGGGGAGCACAGTGGTTTAATTACCGGTGATTTGATCTTTCTGTCTTTTAAATGTATAAATTTTCATTAAAAACCCCATTTTCTGGAGCCAGCCGTTCAAACACCATATTTCTGATTACGTTGCGGATTCGTTTTTTCATTAGTTTTAATTGTTTTCTTTACAACATTTTCAGGGCTGAAGCTCTTACCCAAACACATTGTTCGGGAATGGGACGGTCATTTTTCTATTTCTAACCGGCTTTTTTCTTTTCTTCTGTATATATCCTTTGATAGACTGAAAAATCCGAAAGCAACATTATCTAAATTATACCCTTTTAAAACTGAGATCTATATAACTTAAAATAATGACGAAGCAGTTATGAAAATTTAGTGGTGATAAACAAATCCTCGCTTTAGAGCACATTCTTACAGGAAGTTACGTCATGCACATTTACCCATAATAAAATGAATGCTTTACTGTATTCCCTTATTTTTTATTGCGATAAGAACCCTCTAAAAGGCCTATCGCCGTGGATGGGCGATTAACCGTATTCCCTGAGGCTATGTCCGTAGGTTTTATTGCGATAAGAAACATCACCGTAGATTGTGTGAGTTTTCTGGTTTTCTGATTTTTCTGATTTTCTGGTCCTTCGGGATCATTGATGCCAACACTATAAAGTGTTTAGAATTGAGTACCGCTCAAGCCGGTGCTAGGGGGCGTGAGTGATGTTGCACCTATTCATTATCACTCATGTACAGACTCAATCAAACCGAGTCTGCAATTCTTATGTTATTTTGTTGTGATCAATGCTTCCGAGGGATCACTTTGTTTCCAGAATTTTTTACAATACACCTAAGGCTATCAACGTGGGTTTTATTGCGATAAGAAACATCTAAAAGGCCAATCACTGTGTTTTTTATTTAGATTTACCGTGTTCCTAGAGTCTTTCTCCATGGGTTTAATTGCGATAAAAACCCTCTGAAAGACCTATCACCATGGGTTGTGTGAGCTTTACTGTACTCCCAGAGTCTATCTCTATTGGTTTAATTGCAATAAGAGTCCTTTGAAAAGGCCTATCATCGTGGGTTCTATGAGCTTTCCCGTATTCCTCAGGCTATCAACGTGGGTTGTATTGCAATAAAAACCCACTTAAAGGACTATCATAGGCATTGTGTTAGCTTTACTGTATTCCCTGAGGCTATGTTCGTGGGTTTATTGCGTCACGCACCCTCTAAAGGCCATTCACCGTGGGTTGTGTGAGCTATACTGTACTCCATGAGGCTATTTCCGTGGGTTTATTGCGATAAGAACCCTCTAAAAGGCGTATCACCGTGGGTTGTGAGGGCTTTACTGTATTCAGGAGGCTATCACCGTGCGTTTTAAATATTTCAATAAACACCCTCTAATTTGCGTATCACTCCTTGGTTTGTGTGAGCTTTATTGTATTCCCTGAGGCTATGTCCGTGTGTTTTATTGCAATAAGAATTATCTAAAAGGCCTATCACGTGGGATAATGCGAGCTTTATTGTATCCCCGAGTCTATAACCGTGGGCGTTATTGTGATCAAAACCCTGTAAAAGGCGTATCATCTTGTGCTGCGTGAGCTTTACTGTACTCTCTCAGGCTATCCCCTACGGGTTTTATTGTGATAAGATATCTCTTAAAGGCATATCAACGTGGGTTGTGTGAGCTTTGTTCCCAGAGGCTATCACCGTGGGTTTTATTGCGATAAGAACACTTTAAAAAGCGTATCACCATGTGTTGTGAGAGCGGTACTGTATTCCGGAGGTTATCATGGTTGGTTTTTTGCAAAAGAACCCTATAAAAGGTCTATCACCGTGGGTTGTGTGAGCTTTACTGTATACCCTGAGGCTATCACCGTGGGATTTATTGCGATAAGAAACCTGTAAAAGGTCTATCACCGTGAGTTGTGTGAGCTTTAATGTATTCAAAGGGCCTAGGGTAGTGTGAATTTTACAGTTCCCTGAGGCTATCATCGTGGGTTTTATTGAGATAGGAACCCTCTAAATGGCCAGTCAATGAAGTTTGTGTGAGATTGACTGTATTCAATGAATTTTTTTCCAAGGGGTTTACTGCGATAAGAACTCTTTAAAATGTGTATCACCGTGGGTTGTGTAAGTTTAACTGTATTCCTGAGGCTACCAACGTGGGTTGTGTTGCGATTAGAACCCTCTTAAATGCCTATCAACGCGGGTTGTATGAGCTTAACTGTATTCCCTGAGGCTAGTTCCTTTTTTTATTGTTTTATTGCTATGATATAAGAACCATCTAAAAGGCCTATCGGAGGGAGGTGATGTGTATTGGGATAAGAACTCTCTAAAATGCATATTACCGGGGTTTGTGATTCCCTGGGGCTATTTCCGTGGATTTTATTGCGATATGCACCCTCTTAAAGGCTTATCACCGTTGGTTGTTTAAGCTTTACGGTATTTCAAAAGGCTATCTTCATGTATATTGAGCTTTTTTGCGATAAGAACCCTTTAGAATGCCTTTCACCGGGGCTTGTGTGAGATTTACCATATTCTCGAGGCCATCATCGTATGTTTTATTGCGATTAGAACCCTCTAAAAGGCCTATCACCGGGCTTTGTGGTTGATTACTGTATACCTGAGACTATGTCCATTGGTTTTATTGCGATACTTACCCTCTTAAAGTCTATGACCGTGAGTTGTGTGAGCTTTGCTGTTCCCTGAGGCTATCACCTCGGGTTTTATCGAGATAGGAACCCCTTAAATTGCCAAAAAGTGCGGTTTGTGTGAGGTTTACTGTATTCAATGAAGGTTTTTCCATGGGGTTTACTGCGATATGAACACTCTTTAAGGCCTATCACCGTGGGTTGTATGAGCTTTACTGTATTCCTGTGGCTATCAAAGTGGTTTGTATTACGATTAGAACCCTCTTAAAGGCCTATCACCGGCAATGTGTTAGCTTTACTGTAATCCCTGAGGATATGTCGAGGTTTTTTTTTGCACTACGCACTCTCTTTGAGGCCTATCACCGTGGGTTGTGTGAGCTTAACTGTATTACCTGAGGCTATTACCGTGAATGTTATGGCGATAAGAACCCTCTAAAAGGCGTATCACCTTGGGTTGTGTGAGCTTACTTTACTTCAATAAACTATCTTGTGTGTTTTATTGTGCGATAAGAACCCACTTAAGGCCTATCACGTGAGTTACGTGAGCTTTACTTTATTCCATGAGGCTATCACCGGTGGTTTTTATTTTGATGAGAGCCCTTTTAAAGGCCAATCACCGTGGGTGACGTGAACTTTACTTTATTCATTGTGGCTATCTGCGCTGGTTTTACTACAATAAGAACCCTCTTTAAGGCATATCATCGTGGATTGTGTGAGCGTAACTGTATTCTATGAGGCTATCACCCTTGGTTTTAATGCGATAAGAACCCTCTTTAATGCCTATCACCCTGGATTTCATGAGCTTTACTTTATTCCATGAGGCTATCCACGGTAATAGGCCTTAAATAAAGTAGTCACACAACCCACGTGATAGGCGTTTAAGAGGGTTCTTATCGTAATAAAACCCATTGTGGGAGCCTCATTTTTGAATCAAGAAACATGCATAAATGTGTTTGCTTAAGAATTTTAAATATCAGCATATTTTGTCATTTCTTGTGTTTCTTAAATGCTTCTAAATCTAAGCTCACTACTCAGAGTAATTTGAACTGAGATACAAAACAATTACTGTTCAATAAATACGCTTATCATATACCGTGTCGCTTTTGCGGTATTGAACTCGTGCGATAAATTCAGTATTGAACACTACCTTTTCTACGTATTCTCCAATGATTAGCTAATTGGGGTTATGAGGCTAATTTACACGATTTTCGTAGTTGTTCGTATAGGATTATATGATATAACAATATTGTGTATACGTTGCTGATTGTAAAGTTCTGTTAATATTTGATTACCGCTTGATGAAGATTTAACTGCATATTTTAATTTTGAATGATGTTATATCTGCAGATATATAAGCAGAACTTTTATCTAGTCTTAAGTATGCATGTTTTGTTTGTTTGTTTGTTTCATTACACGCAATTTCCCAACAGTATTTCAGTCATATAGGCGGGTAGTTTCCTAACCATCGTTCCTGGAGAGTTACACCAGTACTAGACTTCCTTCCTCCGCGCTAAACTACCAAAGTATCTCCCGGGGATCGAACCGACGCCAGAGAGGTAACTGGATTAGAAGTCATCGACTCTAACCCCTCGACCAAGGAGGCGGTTGTGTATACCAGATTTCAAAAAAATGTAAAAGAAACAACAACAAAAACATTCAAGGGTTCAGAAGTGTATTTATTAATTTCCAAGAATAAGTTGTAGATTTTAATCAGCAGTATTTAGAAATATTTTCTGATTAAGTCTTAAGAATGGCTACAATTGTTCTAACAAAACAAAAAAAAGCTTTTGAAAAATAAAAAGACAAAAAAAAACAAAAAAAAAACAGCAACATTCGTTTGGCTTATCGGACCATTTGAAAAGTTCTTAATATAATTTATGATATTAATAAGATGAAGAGGAGATATT